AATACCCAAGAGTGGCCACTGGAGAGACCGGTAGGATCTATGAACAGTGCCATTGAACTCGGTATTCCTGTAAACTCTGAATTTCTGAAGGATCCTCCAGCGAGTGCTAACAAGAATGTGGTCGAGCTCTATGGCCACAGTACCTGTATCGCTATACAGAAATCCTCAAATCCTTCTCCGGGACCTAGCAAAGTCCCGAAGAAGGAGGCTGTTCTCGCTATTGAGATCAGCTCTCGAGCCTGGGTACCAACAGACATCTCGCAGCCAGCTCGATCACGGCCGGACACCGCACTGAAGTCGCCAAGTGCAAATGTCTCGCCGGGAGGATATATGTGCCACAAATGTGAGTTTGGCATAGAGCGCCTCTTTCACATCGAGGTTACATACATTGGCAGGAGCGTACGCAGCAATAAGAGACACAAAGCCAAAAGCATGATTCAGTCTCACTGCCATAGTACGTCCATCAACCGGAGAAACCTCTACTATCGAAGGTTGAAGTCGACCGAAGATGGCTGTGACTACTCCCTGGAGATGGTGACCATGTCCCCGGCCCGACCAGTAGTAGGTGGACCTACCCACACTGATCGTGCCGCTGTCAGGTCTTCTCACCTCCGAGAGGGCAGCCACCTCACCGCATATTTTTAACAATATTTTTTAACTTATACAACTACCTTTTGATAATCTTAATAAGTTCTTTTAATTGTAAAATCCAATACATCGCTTTCTACTGATGAAACTCGTAGTATCACGGTTTAACTCTACTGCCTCAAATCTCACACTATTTCAGCGTGTCCATCAATGCTGCCCAGGCATTTCCGGTCAGCTGGGGTCAGTAATCCTAGCTGCATGCTCTGCGGCTCGTATAGAATTTGTACCCTAATGCCCGAGTCTAGCACGCCTAATCACCCCCACAGAACTCCGAAAGGAACTTTTCGCGTTTTTACACGGTCTTACCCACTCACCGTCAGAATTCAGATATCGTACCTTGGAGCCGCAAGCGTCATGGGCACAGCGCGAAATGAGAAATTTCGGTGCCCGGACCACTAAGGTCTCTAACATTCAAGAAAAGTTATTCTTGGTCTCATCTCTTTTCCTGTGACAAGGAGTCAGTGCTCGGCCCAGGCAACATCCATTGCTGCCAAGCTTTTATGCATTTATGCGCAGTGCCACATATTTGCCACCCCATCACTAAAAATCAAATCTTTTGATAGGAATCTTTGTCTTTTGAAATATCATCCTATGATCTTCATCCACTAAGTCTTAGTTTCACCAGCAGCTTAAACTTTATAGGAGATGCATCATGGCAATGCAAAGACTCAGGTCTTGATCTTTTGTATCTATAAAACGTTCATCTAAATCCGTTCTCCTTAAAGCTGCCTAGAAACTTGTCTTCTCTGGTCCCCTCTCTTTGTTAGGATCTAGCGATCTGTTACTAAACGTTTTAATAATTATGAAAAAAGGACTTTACCCTACACTGATTTTCCCCTTGGCTTCTGAGGGTCATTTTGGAGCTCATCCTACTGGAGCCCCAGCGTTTGCTTGATTTTGTACTTCTGTGATTACTGGTTTAACTATTAACTTGGCAAGCAAAACCCCTTGCTCTATGTAGAGGGAATATTTCACCAAACTGGATCTTGCCCCAGTGTCCCAATTAGCGAAAAACCTCCTTGCTGTTCGCGACGCCAATTTTTATCACATATTCTTGATAACAAGGTTCTCACTTTATCTTCCTCAGTCTTCTCTTTGCTGTCATCCCTCTCGAATTGCCGAGTTTTTTTGTTTGTTTTTTGACAAAGGATATTTGTTCTTAGTTCCTGGCTGAGGCTCTTACTACAAAGCATCCTGGAGACAATGACCCCATCGGAATACATCACATTCTAGTTACGATTTCCACCGGGATGCGCCACTGGGAAGCGCTTCGCTCACCTACCCACTCTTGCCCCACATAAAAAAAAATAAAATGACGCCCCTGGACCCCAGTACAACATCTAATATATTGGGACCATGTTACGTGACTGACTGCCAATACCTGAGTGCATTGCTGTCAGTGCGTCCGTTACTTGCTGGGTGTGGCGGTCCGAAGCGGTTCGTCCTTAAAGTTCCCGCCTTCGGCGAAATCGGCCTGGCCATCGCCACCCACACACGTCCCCGCTGAGTTCAGCTGGCTTTCATATTGTATTTATTTTGCTATGTTTAATTGGTACGCCTTGTCACAGCAAGATCCGCCACTTCGACTACTACAAGTAAAAACCTAATGATCACGGTTCAACATCACTACATG